ATCTTGGAGCCATCTTGGCCGTCTTGGAGGCCATCTTGGCCGTCTTCGATGCATCTTGGAGGCCATATTGGGCCATCTTGATGCCATCTTAGGCCGTCTTGTGTGCATCTTGGCCCGTCTTGGAGACATCTTGGAGCCATCTTTGCCGTCTTGGAAGCCATCTTGGCCTTCTTGGATGCATCTTGGAGGCCATATTGGGCCGTCTTGGCGCCTTTGGAGAGAGACATCCTTGGCAACCGGGTCCGGGCAATCCTCCCGGGACCTTTGCGGGACGGGCCGAAGCCCCAGAGGGAGTTCTTGTGGAAAAGAACCAAAACCAAAACCGATATAGTCTGGCACGCCAGGCACCCCTGCGATGAATCGACAGGGGGCGGCGGATCTAAGACGCCTACGGCGAATCACCGCCGCCCCCTGCCTTTTTGGAAGCGCCTAGGTGGCCGAACGTTGAGGCCAGACCTGCCAAGTGATCGTTCCATGTGCTTCCCGAATCGGTTTGGAGAGCCTTCGGGGAACACGTGGGCATCTTGAATTGAAAGTCATCTTGGCCGCCTGGAGGTCAATTTGACCCTTTCGGGCCTTCTTGGAGGACGTCTTGAAGGGCTCTTGGGCCGTCGTGGGGGCCTCTTGTGTCTTGGTCTTGGGCCGTCTTGGGGGCCTCCGGGGGCCGTCGTGGGCCTTTTGGGCGATCTTTGGGTGCACTTGGGCCGTCTCGGGCCGTCGGAAGGCAGAAAAAAAGCAAATGCCACAATCCTTCAAACACTCATTGGAAATCAATGATTTTGACCTTCTCGGCCCTTCCTGGATGCCCTCTTGGAAGCCTCTTGGGCCGTCTTGGGCCATCTTAGGGCCATCTTCGGTCGAGATTTTGGCCGTCTTTGGTCGAAATACCTAAAAAGATAATCAATGATTTTGGCCTCTTCGGGCCTTCCTGGAAGACCTCTTGGAGGCCTTTGGGGCCGTATTGAAGGACTCTTGGGCCGTCGTGGGCCATGTTGAGGCCATCCTGAGGCTATCTGAGGCCGTCTTGAGTACATCTTGGGCCGTCTTGGAGGCATCTTGGGGCCATTTTAGCCGTCTTGGAGGCCATCTTGGGCCGTCTTGGAGACGTCTTGGAGACCATCCTGGACCATCTTGGCCGTCTTGGACGCCATCTTGGGCCAGCTGGAGGAAAGAGAGGCACGACGGATGCGTTTTGAGATCCTTTCCGGGTGGCCGGCGGGACGGGCCGAAGCCCCAGGGGGAGTTCTTTTGGAAAAAGAACCAAAGCCAAAAGCCATCTCGTCTGGCACGCCAGGCATTCCTTTGATAAATCAAAAGGGGGCGGCGGATCGAAGACGCCTACGGCGAATCACCGCCGCCCCCTGCCCTTTCGGAAGCGCCGATGCGGCCGACTGCTGTGGCCAGAGGTCTGCCAAGTTATTGGGCCATATGTTCCCCGAATCGGTCTTTACAGCCTTCGGGGAACACGTGGGGGAGGACGGGGAGGAGAGGAGAGATAGGAAGGGGGGGAATGGAGGAGGAGGTCTCTTGAGTGCCTTTTTGGCTACTCTTGGGCCGTCTTGAGGTCCTCTTGGGGCCTTCTTGGGGGCCTCTTAGGCCGTCATGGGGCCATCTTGGAGGCCTCTTGGGTGCTGTTGGGGCGATGTTGGGGACCTCATGGGCCGTCTGGGGCCGTCGGAGAGCTGAAAAGAAGAACATGCCAAAATCCTTCAAAAACCTGAGGAAAATCAATGATTTTAACCTATTCGGGCCTTCCTGGAGGGCGTCTTGGAGGGCTCTTGGGCCGTCTTGGAGGCCTTTTGCCGGCCTTTTGGGCCGTCTTAGACCATCTTGAGGCCATCTTGGACCGTCTTGGGTGCATCTTGGAGCCATCTTACCCGTCTTGGAGGCCATCTTGGCCGTCTTGGAGGCATCTTGGAGGCCATCTTGGGCCATCTTGCCGTCTTGGAGGCCATCTTGGGCGTCTTGGAGGCCTCTTGGGCCGTCTTGAGGCCCTCTTGGGGCCTTCTTGGGGGCCTCTTGGGCCGTCATGGGGCCATCTTGGAGGCCTCTTGGGTGCTGTTGGGGCGATGTTGGGGACCTCTTGGGCCGTCTTGGGCCGTCGGAGAGCTGAAAAGAAGAACATGCCAAAATCCTTCAAAAACCTAAGGAAAATCAATGATTTGAACCTATTCGGGCCTTCCTGGAGGGCGTCTTGGAGGGCTCTTGGGCCGTCTTGGAGGCCTTTTGCGGGCCTTTTGGGCCGTCTTAGACCATCTTGAGACCATCTTGGGCCGTCTTGAGTGCATCTTGGAGCCATCTTACCCGTCTTGGAGGCCATCTTGGCCGTCTTGGAAGCATCTTGGAGGCCATCTTGGGCCATCTTGGCCGTCTTGGAGCCATCTTGGGCCAAGTTGGGGCAACAAAGGCATTGACAGATGGATTTTCGGAAACTTGCGGGTGGCCGGCGGGACGTGCCGAAGCCCACTGGGGAGTTCTTTTAGAAAAATAACCAAGACCAAAACCTGAAACATCCAGCACGCCGTGCACCCCTGTGGCAAGACCACAGGGGGCGGCGGATACTAGTGGCCTTCGGCCCATCCCGCCACCGTGCCTGGGTTGTAGGTCAGGGTTCTCAGGGATGCTTCTTCGGGGTTCTCTCGGTGGCCTTTTGGGAGCAGTTTGGGGGCCTGTTGGGGGCCTCTTGGGGGCCTCTTGGAAGTCTCTTGTAGCCTCGTGGGAGCCTTTTGGGGCCTCTTGGGGGCCTCTTGGAGGCCTCTTGGGGCCTCCTGTGGGACCCTCGGGCCGAGGACTCGAAATCTTCGTTCGGGTTACCCATCTGGGTCCCCTCTTGGGGCCGTCTTTGGGCCCTCTTGGCTCGTCTTGGGCGCCTCTTGGGCCGTATTTGGGCCCTGTTGGGCAGTCTTGGGGCCCTCTTGGAGGCCTCTTGGGCCGTCTTGGGGTGATCTTCGGGGCCTTGTGGGCCGTCTTGGAGCGTCAGAAAGCCGGTAAGGCGAGAAGGCCAATGATTTTTGCCTCTTGGGGCCTTCTTGGGACGCCTCTTGGAACACTGTTGGGACGTCTTTGGGGCCTCTTTGGCCGTGGTGAGGCCATCTGTGGCGCCTTGGGGCACTCTTGGGCCTTCTCGGAGGCATCTTCGGCCCTGCTGGGCGCTTTTTGGGCCCATGTTTGGCCGGCTGCGCTGCCAGAGGACGCGCGTGACACGCTCTGGGAATCCCGGGGAATCCCCGGGAATCCTTAGGAATCCCAGGAAATCCCCCGGAAGTCCTTGTGAAACCGGTGGCTCGGGCCCTCAACAGGTCTGAGCTTGTCAGGGCTGCTGAACGTTATTAGGACCACCTAGAAGTTCTGTTCCTGTGGATCCCTTCGAATCCTAAGGATTCCCTTGGATCCCGAAGAATCCAGAGAATTCCAATGGATTCCTTACAGTTCATCGAGTACAGCGGGAATCCTAAGGAACACTTGGGATTCCGGAGGATTCCCCAGCATTTCTCAGGATTCCTTAGGGTGGATTGAACGGGCTCGGCGTGCGGATTCGCATGAGTTCCAGCGCAATCGTATGATTTGTTTCGGATTCGATGTGCTTCCTTAGGATTCTTAGTACCTCCTCTAAACTATTTGGACATGCTTAGGGTCAATCGGATTTCCGAAGGATTTCTTAGTATTCGGAGGGCTCCGTTGTTGGCGGTGGTGTACGGATTCGCATGTCTTCATGAGCAGTCCTAGGATTTCGTGTTGGTTCTCCGTGATTCCTTATGATGTGTTGAACACATCATAAGAGTCATTATGTAATCCTGAGCATATTCACGAATTCGTAAGGACAACTAGCAAATTCAAGAGGTTCCCAGTCAGTTTAAAATTGATTAGGGGCCACTTAGGATTATTTCGAATTCCGAAGGTTTCCCGAGGATTCCTCATAACCTGACAGATTACTCAGGATTTCTTAGGATTCGGATTCTTGAGGATTTCTTAGGGTCCCAGTGGGCTTCTCAGATTCATTCGGTTACTGAGGAAACACTCGCATTCCGAAGGATACCTTCGGGAGTGGGGGCGGGGCGAACGGGCTCGGCGCACGGATTCGCATGAGCTCCTGGGCATTCTTAGTGGTCTTTCCAGGGGATATCCGAACAACTCTTCAGGGGTCTGGGAAGTCTTGCGAATTACTGGGAACTCTCTAGGACTATTCGGAATTCCTACGGAGCCTGGCGGATTTGTCAGAGTCGTAAGGATAATCGGGGATTCCTGAGAATCTTCAAGGTCTCTAAACATGGCTTACATTCGTTACATTACGAAGGTTATCCTAAGGCTCACGTGGGAAGGGTTCCTGAGCATTCCGAAGGATTTCTAAGGGTGGGCTGTACGTGCCGAGCGTACGGATTCGCATGAGCCCTTGTGCAATACTATGTAGGCGCTACCCCTTGCGTCCTTGAGAAAGCTTCTACCAGAGCAGTTGTCGGGATCCTTTGTCTGTGTGTGTGTGGAAAACAATACCGCCCAGGCCTGCATCGACGCTAGTGCGGGAGGAAAAGGATGGATGGATGGATGGACCCGGCATTGCGCTGTGAGTCTGAAGACACTCACCCCTCGAGCTCACGAAACGAGAGATCGCTCGGGGACACCTCTGAACAGTCGTGCGATCTCCTCGGACCGAACGAGGTCAGGCGTGTGGGCGCGCCGTGCAGCTGTGATCACCATAGATCCGAGCCGAGCAGGACAGGAAACAGTAAAACGCCCGCGGGCGGGGGGTGATACCCCTCTGGCCCCTGGGGGCCGAGCTCGACGGCGCGGAGAGCACCGAGCAGGCTCCCTGGACACCCCAGAGGCCCCGAGAAGGAACAACAAAAAACAACAGGCCGAAGAAAAGGGCCGACGGCGCGCCCTAGAGACCAGGGGCGGCGAGAGCGACTAGAGGGGCCTGGTGCTACAGCGAAGCTGCTGGACTCACGTCGTCACGTAGTGTGCTGGTCGCCCATCTCTTTCCGTAGGATCCGCCACCCGCGTCAGCCCTTCTGGCCGTAGTGGATCAGGCGGTTTTTGTCTGGCAGTTTCTGGGCCATCGATTCCAGGTGGCCCGTCCCCATCTTCTGGCGGCCGCCCAGAACGTCGAGACAAGTCTCCCGAGGGCCGTCTGGGTTGACGCTCTTCAGTGTGATCTGGTCCGCGTTAGCGAACTGCATCCTGGTGTACTGGTCGTTGTGGCGCGTGCGCAGCCTGAGGTGGAAAAAGAGCTCCGAGCCCGTCTCCGTGCAAACGAACTGCTGGTGGAAGGTACGCGGGAGCCCGTGCCCCTGCGGGGCCTCCTGCACCACGAAGGCCGACGGGTACTTGAACTCGGCGTGAGCGAGGTACAAATGTGGTGAGTTGGGGCTTCGCCTCGGGGAACTGCGCCGCCTCTGCGTACATCTTGCCCGCTTCCCGAGCTGCGACGATCGAGGTAGCCGTGGGCGTGGTCACGATGCTGATCCATTCCGAGTCCGCTAGGTCCCTGAGCAACTGGGCGCGCAGGCGCACCATCTTGGGGAGGAACGTGACCGCCTGCTGCAGGTCGCGCGACTTCAGGGCGCCCTCCAGACGAAGCTTGATCGTGTCGTAGTCCCAGGTGTGCAGCGCGTGGGCCTCGAAGATGTCGCCCGCGTAGACAGAGCGGTGGTCTCGATCGTACAATTTGTTGAGGCGGCGTCCTGCTCCCATGGGGGCCTTGCACTGGCGTGTGTGGGACTCCAGGGCGGACGGGGCGTAGAAGAAGTCGATCCTGCGTGATCGTCCGTGCGTCCCTATGAAGGTGTCCCCGCTGACAAAGAAGGTGTCGTGGTCCGAGAGGAACCGTTGCCAAAGACGTCCAGAGAGGCCCTCCAGCTCCAGGAAGGTGCCCACGGCGCTGTCGACCTCGCTCCACAAGTCGGGCACGAGCAGGGACGAGGAGCCGAGAAACGTCTCGTCCACGGAGTCGCCGAGCTGAGGTCCGCCCCGCTGAAGGGCGTGCGACGACTGCCCACAGACTTCATCATGGTGCGTGCCCACGAGGTCATCGCCTGGGTCACCTGGCGGTATGAGTAGGACTCGGATGGCACGGAAAGGTGCCGAACCATGAGGAGCACGTCCGAGGAGCGGCACTGTCGCGCCGCAGCGGCCCGAGAGCGCCGCGGGCGGAGGGTAGATCAGACGTAGGTGTGCCTGCAGAAACCGCTGATGTAGGAAGATGCTCCCCCCGAAGCTCTTGTTGGTCCAGCCGAGGGAGAGCTCCCAGTGGTAGTCGTGCTGAAAGAGGCTGTAGCGGCCGTCCAGTGTCGGGCGGCGGCTCATCCCAGGGAGGAGGATATCGCCCCATGTAGTGCTCGCGGGCGATCTCCTGCGCGCGGGTGCTGCCCGTCAGGTAGAGAGGGATGTACTCGTAGAGCCTGGTGTGCTGAGCAGGTAGCGGCTCTCGCTCCTGAGTGCGTCCAAGGGCGCGGCAAGCGCCTGTCGACGTGCGGGCGGCCGCCCGCGGCGAGAAGCCGACGGCCGCGAGCAAGAGGAGAGCCGCCATCATGGGCCTCTTGGGCCCCGCGGGCGAGTGGGCATCGCGCGCTGCTCCCCTGGCGGGCGATGAACAGGGTGGGAGGGCCGCGTGTCCCGCGCCCTTCAGCCGTGGGGGCGGCTGGAGGAAAAGGAGGAGGAGGAGGAGGAGGAGGAGGGAGGAGGAGGAGGAGGAGGAGGAGGAGAAGGTGGAGGACTGTAGCGGCCGGGGGGGCAGAGCACGGGTGGACGCTCCCGCCCCCGATTTCCGCTCCGCCGCGCCGCCAGGGCCGTGGCGGCTGCCGTGGCGCTGGCCAGCCACGCCCAGGCCCTGCCTGGCGGCGGCCGCCGCGGCCGCGCCCGCCGCTGCACGGGCGTAGCCTCGGCCGCGCGCCGGGGCGCCGCGGGCAGCCCCGCGCAGGCGCGGGGGGCGCCCCGCGGCCATGGCCGGCGGGCTGCTGCTCTTCACCCTGCGGGCGGCGCGAGAGCGCGGGGCACAAAAAGTGGGCGTCGCGGCGCCTCGTGCAGCGCAGGGGTGCGGAGGGGCGGGAGGGGGCTGCGACGGCGACGACGACGACGACGACGCGGCGGCGGCGGCGGACGCGGACGGCGGGGGCGCGGGTTGGGCGGGGGCGGCGCGACGGCCAGGAGCTCGCCAGGGGATGCCGTCCGGAGCAAGGGAGCACCCAGGGGCAGGGGCCGAAGGGATTCCGAGAGCAGCGAGGCGCGGAGGAGTTGGGGGGAGTGGGAGGGTACGGGGAGGGGAGCGGGCAGGAGGCGGGATGATCAGGCGATCGCAAACATGGATCAAGGGGGCGTGGATTGGCGACGGGTCCCGTTTCCATGGGAAATCACGGATTTCCGCCGCCGAGCGAGGCGGCTCTGGCCGCATTTTGGTGAGGGCATCTCCCCAAAATGCGGCCGGAGATTCATGGATTTGGCGACCGCGCGCCAAATCCATGGATCGCTAATCCATGTTTGCGCGCCCCCGCGATGAGGAGAAGGAGTAACACCTGCTCTGTTCAAAACGAGGGTCCCACGTCCCACGCAGGAGGGTTGTGGAAGGCGGAGCCCGAAGTAAATTAGTCTCTTGAGGCCCAACCCAAAACTAGACATTGATGAATCCAGAATCCCAACTCCCGACCCTGACCTAACACGAAGTCTCCGACCCCGGAAGCTGGACCCGAACTTGGATCTTACGCGTCGCACGAATCATTCACAAAGCCTGACCCTACCCGCAAGCCTAACACGAACCTGAACCCTCGTCCGCACCTGAATATCACTCTCACCAACCGCCTAAATTGAGTTATGATCGTAAGCTTTTTATCCGCTTCTTCACCTGAGTCATACACCGTCCTTCGACAAAACTCTGAGCCATCACTCCGACCCGCACCAGCCCCAACCCGAAGCCAGAACCGCAGACCTAGCCAGAGCCCTAAATCCGAATTAAACCTGGCGTAAACGTAGTCCTATACCTCACCCTGTTGTGAAACCCTTACCCTAGTTCGATCCCTGTTCCTCACCCAGGCCTGAACCTGAAGCCCGACCCCCAACCCCTGGCCCTCACCCCTTTACTGGGGAGCCCTCTGGGGCGTCCACGATGTGCCTGAAGGAGGTCCTGAGCATCCTTGGTGGAAGAAGCTCGGCTGCTGTCTGCATATCAGGCCGTGTGTGGCTCTCTTGGGACCCACCTGGAGTCTTTTGAGCCGTCTTGGGACGTTCTTGGGCCACTCAGGCACTCAGGGGCGTCTAGTTGTGGACTGAATACTCGTAAGGGCTTCGCCCACATGCCGCCGGCCACCCTCTCTTAGAATGGGACTTGCCAGAGCTGTGTTGGGATGTCTGGACGCTGACGTGAAGCAATGTCGGGACTTCACGCGAGGGCCGATATTAATTCACAAGGGTTTCAGGCTTCGGTGGCGCGAATATGAGGTAATTAGCGATGGTCTATGGCTTCCGGGACGCGCATATTGCGGAATTTACGAACGGTGTATGGCCTCGGGGACGCAACGATTGTGTAATTTACGAGGGTTTATGGCCTCAGGGGCGCACATATTGTTTAATTTACTAGGGTTGATGGCCTCGGGGACGCGAGTACTGTGTAATTTGGGAGGATTGGGGCATCGTTTAGGATGGTTTATAGTCCTGGGGACGCGAAGATTGAATAATTATTCGAAGGGTTTATGGCTGGGGGGGGCGCGAGCATTACGTAATTTACGAAGGTCAATTGCTTCGGGGGCGCGACCATTGCGTAATTTACAAAGGTTTATGGCTTCGGGGGCGCGAGTGTTTTATAATTTACAAGGGATTCTGGCTTCGGGGATGCGAATATGGTGTAATTCATCAGGTTTATGGCCTCGGGGACGCGAATCTGGAGTAATCTACTGAAAGGTTATGGCATCGGGGACGCGAATTTCAAGTTTTACGTGTCCCACGACCCCCCGGGAATTCCGACAACGGCGATTCGGGGACGCTAACCAGGACGCGGCTCCCCCCCCTTCGCGCGTTCAGCAACAATCAACAGTAAGGAACCAGACAGCGGGACTGTAACAGTGGAAGCTGGAGACTGCAACTGGCACAGGGAGCTGCAAGCCTAAACTTCGCAGCCTGATGGCCCCGCAAGGGGGCTGGCGGATCCATATCCACAGCCTCGCGGGCTGGGTCCCTGGGCTGCTACCCCATGGGCACGGGGGCCGAACGTATTTGTGCGACCGCCTATCCATGGGATCGCGTCCTGGAATCTAGACCGCGAGGGCGTGGGTATGTTCGACCCTCATGATTTAGGCCATCCTGGGCGGTCTGCAGGATATCTTTGGCTGAGTGCGTGGGAAGAGCTTGGACCCCACGCTTGCATCGCTGCGCGGCGCTGACCAAACATTGAACAAGGGAAGGGTCCGTTGGTGATAGTTTCCTTATTCATTGTTTTGCCTATCGGCTCGGGCCCCGGCCCTCCCCACCCCTCCCCACCCATGGAGTAGATCTTTGCTGTTTTTGGCGCCTGTCTCGAGCAGGTGGAGTCTCCCCCCATAGGACGCATTGTCGTAAGCAGTCGCACTAAGCAGAGGTCCGGAGCCAGACCCCCCCCCCTTCCGTCCAATGTCGAAACGCCGAAGAAGAAAACGCTCACTTGCCCGCCGTTCCAAGGCCTTTGGCTTGGGGGCCTCCGGGTGTTTGCCCGGGCGCGCGCGCGCAAGGGTTCTTGGTGGTACCGCCGATGGCGGCTGGCCAGGGCCCGTCCAAGAAGGGGGCCCGCCTGAAGGCGGAGCGGGCAGCCCAGACAGCCGCGCCCGACGCCGAGGAGAAGCAGCCCAAGGCGAAGCCGCCCCGGAAGAAGGCGCGGGCCGACGTGGAGGCGGCCGACGCGGTGGACCCGGCGCCGAAGAGCAAGAATCGAAGACGAAAAAACCACATAAACATAATTTTTTGGCGCTCCGCGCCGTTTTGGGGGGATCCGCGTCTGGGCCGCCCGGCGGCGCCTCCGGCGCCGCCCCTGGCGCGCTCCGCGCGACAGGGAGGGGGGGGTCCAGCGCGAATCAAAGAAATCCGCGCGGAGGGCGCCAAAAGTTTATGCTTATGTGGTTTTTCTTCTTCTACAGAAGCGGAAGGTACAGGCAGATGCCTCCGGCTCCATGGAGGTGGCCGACGAGAAGAACATCTCGGAGTCCACGCGGCAGGTGCTGAAGGACCGAGGCATCACCACGCTCTTCGAGATCCAGAGTCAGGCGTTCGCCCCCGCCTTCGCTGGGAAGGACGTGGTCGGGCGCGCCAAGACCGGCTGCGGCAAGACGCTCGCCTTTGTGCTGCCGTGCGTGGAGCGGCTGCGATCCCTGGGCCTCGTGGCCAGGAAGGGCCCGAAGCGGACGCCCCTGTCTCTCGCCGTTGATGGGCAGATTTTCCACCACCTCTACCATAGGACGGGGGAGAGAGGAGGATGGAGAGGTCCTCCTCTCCTCCTCCTCCTCCTCCTCCTCCTCCTCCTCCTCCTCCTCCTCCTCCTCCTCCTCCTCCCCCTCCTCCTCCTCCTCCTCCTCCTCCTCCTCCTCCTCCTCCTCCTCCTCCCTCTCCTTCCTCTCCTAGCTATGGTAGTGGTGGTGGAAAACAGGCCCATCAGCCGTGGCGCCGACGCGCGAGCTGGCCCGCCAGATCTTCACCGACTTCGAGTCGGTGGGCACCGCCGCCGGCTTCGTGGCGCGGTGCTTCTACGGCGGCACGGCGTTCGGGCCGCAGTGCGACGACCTGCGGGCCGGCATCGACCTGCTGGTCGGCACGCCGGGGCGCCTGCTCGACCACATCAGGCGCGAGACCATCGATCTTTCCGCGTGCCAGGTACTGATCTTGGACGAGGCGGACGAGATGCTGTCGATGGGTTTCCAAGAGGATGTCGACGCGCTCATGTTGGCGCTGCCGAAGGAGAATGTTCAAAAGATGCTCTTCTCGGCGACGCTTCCCAAGTGGGTGAATGCGCTTGTCTCGAAGCACCTGCACGAACCGGTCTGGATAGATGTCGTTGGCAACGACGACACCAATGCCACGAATTCCAAGATCACGCATCAGTGCATATCCAGCTGCCTGCGGCAAGTCCCGCCACCGTGCCAGCCAAGCCTTCTGGGTGGCGACGGTTCGAGGGGGCCCGGGAGGCCGTCATGGGTGGCACCTCGTGCGCGCCGGGTTTGTGAGAGCCGTGATGGTAATGTGGGGATGATGTTGTTGCTGCTGCTGATGATGTTTTTGCTGACGGGATGGTGGTGATGATGATGATGCTGATGATGATGGTCATGATGATGCTGATGATGATCAGGATTCGGAGGGGATTATGATTATGATGCCGATGCTGATGCTGATGATGTTGATGATGCTGATGTCGTTGTTGATGACGTTGATGTTCATGATGATGATGGTGATGATGCTGATGATTATGATGATGCTGTTGATGGTGATGATATGGATGAGGATGGGAAAGATAATGAGGATCATGTGATGATGATGATGATGATGATGATGATGATGATGATGATGATGATGATGATGATGATGATGATGATGGTGAAGCTGATGGTGCTGCTGCTGCTGCTGCTGATGATGATGATGATGATGATGATGATGATGATGATGGCGAAGCTGATTATGCTGATGATCATGAGGGGGATATTGATGATTTAGATGCTGAGGCTCACGATGAATCTGATTGATGATGCTGATGCTGATGATGCTGATGATACTGATGATGCTGATGATGCTGCTGCTGATGATGATGCTGATGATGGCGATGCTGATGATGATGCTGCTGATGGTGATGATGATAATGATGATGCTAGCCACCGCGCGCTCGAGAGGTTTCCAGGAAGGGGACGGGGGCGAGGACGGCGGCAGTTGGGTGCCATGTGCGTCGCGAGCTTCCGCCTGAGGCGGAGGTGGGGCGGGCGTGGCGAAGGCCATGGCGCCGTCCAACTTGCTGCGGCTGGTCGGCTTCGACCCCATCTTCGCGTCCACGGCGGTGCGCCTGTCGGAGCTGGCCCTTGCAGCTCCCGCGGCGGACGCGCTGATCCTGGTGGGCACCAAGGCGGCGTACCGAAGCGGAGGAGGCGCTCTGCGGCAACGAGTGGAAGGGCTCCTGCTGGTGGAAACAGGTTTCGAACCAGGACCGCACGCACATCGACGCTGCTGGGAAGAGGGATGCAGGAACGACACATCAGGAGAACGTGGCCCTCACCACCGGGAGCTGCGGAACGTGCACTCGCGCTGCGGATCAAAAAGGGCTTGATGGACGTGGTGTATGGCGCCATGCGCTTCCCTGTGCAGCCGACGGGTGCGAAGAAGCTGGGAGCGTATAGGCAGGGCGTCAAGCGGATCGCTAGCTGGTGGAAGGCGATGTTACATGACATTCCGCAGAGAACAGCACCGTGCTTCTTCGCGGACGCGAACGACGGGATCGGCATTGCCAAGATGGACGGGGTATGGCAGGTCGCACACTCAGGTGGAGTGGGAGGACCAGTGGCACGAGAGCGATGAAGAGGTGGAGCGGGGGAACTCATACGGCAAGTTTTGGATGAGCCGTACATGGCAGCACCAACAATTTTCAACGACAAGCTGGAGCCAACGTACTACGCGAGCGGACGAGATGGACGACCAGGAGGACGCAGCACGATCGATTACTTCTACGTGCTCCAGGGCTACTCAGATCGGGTCGAGAAGGTGCGCGTGCTGAGGGGCATGGGAGCGAGAGTACAGGCAGTAAATGGCATACCGCCGAGGGGCCACTTGCCGATGCTGATGGAGACCAGCTACCAGAAATACACGAGAGAGGACACCCCCCAGGACAACGACAACCTGAAGTGCGTCATGAATGCGATGATGAATGTCGTGGCCCATGGTATAGGCAAAGCCGAGTTTCTCTCTGAGCTCGCGCAGAAGCTGGGGGAGCACGAGGGGCACTTCAGGGACCATGCGGAAGATGGGGCGCCAGACAACTACTTCGAGCTGCTGGAACGGATCATGGTCGAGGTCGGAGGGAGACACTTCGCGCCTGCGGCTAGCAGGCGGGACTACCGTGGACACAACGCAGAAAGGCGCGAACTCCTTCGACAGCGGGCGGAGCTGCGGGCGCGCAGGACGACAATCAAGGAGGGCGAAGATGTCGACCACCAGCTTCGGGACATCGGGGGCCAGCTGAAAGAGCCCTCGGCCCGGGCTGCAGGCGCGCAGGCGACGTGCGGCCAGAGGGCAGAAGACCGAGTACGTTAACAAGGTGGAGGGGAACTGGGGGCAGAGGAGGTTCGCGGAGCCGATGGCGCATTCGCGATCTGCGGCGCGGTGCCGATTTTTGGTGCTAAACGCCGAGACGGGCGGGGTTCGGGCCCTTACCACTGGGGCGAGACGAGTGGATGCAGCAGTGGAGCAGACCAGGGCGAGAAGGAGGAGCAGGAGCTGCGGGCCTGGAGTGGGATCAATGGCGAGAACGACGGTGAGGACTGGGAGCTCCGCCGCAGGCGACGGAGGAGTTGAGCGATCTCGCCGACAAGGACGCGGGGAGCATTGCGCGCTACGTCCGCAAGGCGCCGAAGAGGAAGGTGGTTCCGCCTGGGGCATCTCCCATTGAGCTGTGGGACCTGGCCCTGGGCGCGCGGAAGGAGACCGCGAGGCAGAAGCACGGCGCAGGCTTCGAGGAGGGGCAGGGCGACCAGTTGCTCATCTGGAACGTGCTCTTCCACGGGCTGCTGCTGATCCGCAGGACGGACTTTGCCCCGCTGTACTGGCGCAGGAGCAAAGTGGTGGGCTTAGGAATGCAGAGCGGCAAGCGGCGGCGGCGGGGCGACGGGTTATCCATTCTCTAGCAAGCCCGGGCACGGCTTTTTATTCTAGACGGCTCACTTCGCGACCACTTCCCATGAGCTACGGCTTCGCGAAGCACGGGGGGGGGGGGGGAGGCGCCATTTTGGCATCTCAAGTGCTCAGCTGGACATGAAGGACTTGCAGACTGCCTTCGGGTCGGTGAGCTGGATGGCGCCGGACACGGCGGCGGAGCAGAACGCGGGCGGGCAGGATGAGGAGCTGCGCGGGCAGAGGTGCAGGAACATGGCGGTGGATTTGCCGACGCCAGAGGGGGGCCACGCGGTCAAGATCGGGGGCGGACTCATGATGGGGGGCCCCTTCAGCGTCGACGCCTTCTCCGCGGCCTCCGCGGAGCCGGCGCAGAAGTGGTCGCGGCGCCTCCGAGAATTACATCCAGAAGCCAACCTGGTGATATGCGGGTGGGGGGGCATGCCAGACATCGACTTGGGCGTCCGCCAGTGCGCGGACGACCTCAGTCGACACCAGCTGCCGGCCAGTTGGGCGACGATGAAGGACGCAGCGAAGATCCCCGGGCAGGCGGGCGATGCGCTGGGCAGGGGGCTGGCCGCGGCGGTAATGCGGCAGAACAGGGAGAAACAGGTGGCGAGCTTCTGGATCCAAGGAAGTTGCTCGACGGCGCGCGCGCGATGGCTGAAGGGGCATGGCAAGGGCGCGGGCGGGATTCAGGGGGAGCTGAACGACGTCGCGAGGTACCTGGGCCCCCGCGTCTCCCCGAAGGCACCGCCGAGTTTGAGATGCCTCGCAGGTGCGGGGCGGCTAAAGCGGCGTTCTACACGATGGGGCTTTCTGGGATTTATCTGCGCCGCGGAGGTGGAAGAGGGCGGTATTCCTTGGTACGGTGGTGGTGGCGATGCTCTCTGGAATGGTGTGCTTCATCTTGTCGGAGGCGCGGCGCAGGGGGCTGGACTTGTGTCTGGCAGGGCTCGGGCGCTTCGCTATGGCGGGGGGGGGGGGGGGGGCTGATGGGGTCGAGAGCTTGACCGCGGAGCAGGTTCTGGCCCACTGGCGCGTAAGCGACGCGAAGGCCGAGTTGCTCGTCAGGAGGCTGAAGTGGTACCAGAGTTGGGCTCGGCGACCGTGGCATCCTGTTCAACTGCTGCCAGCCCTGTTTGCTGATCTACCTGGGGTTCGCGCCGAGCCTCCGTGCGCGGAGGGGGGCCTGTCGGAGTCAGCATCGCCGTGGGCTGGGCGCGTGGGGGTGGACATCTTAGCGGCGGTCAACTCCATGGAGGACGAAGCGGAGGTGCTGCGTGAGCCGGGAAAGGCACCGTGGAAGCTGGAAGCGGACCGTGACCTGACGAAGCAGTTCTTGCGGATGGAGTTCGCGATGGCGAGGGCCAAGCAGCGCGCCTTGCGCGCGCCGCCGCTTACGAGTACACGCGTGTCGCCACAGGGCCAGCGACGGGGGCAGGCGCTGGAGCGGGAGGGGGGCCCCATCAGGGACATCTACGTGTGCGAGGTTGAACTGGATGATTGTAGCAGGTGTTTGGCTCGTTTTGCTACGCGACGCCAGTTGCTTCATCGCCGGCGCGGCGCTCATCCTATCGGAAACTTGTGTCGCATCTGGACAAAACGCAACCACTGCATCGTGTGTTCTCGGGTTTTCGCGGGGCGGGTGACAGCGGCCAAACGTCCCGAACGAAGTCTGCAAGGGGGGTGATGCGGAATGCACAGCAGTAAAGTTATTAGGCAACTGAAGATCCCGCGTTCTCTTTCCTGCGGTTTGCGTGAGTACGAGGGGGCCACTTGGGTTGACGTCGGGGGGCGCCTGAGCTCGGGCCATCTCCCGTGGAGCATCACTGCGGAGAAGCCCAGCAGACAGAGAGATGGCGCAGAGGTGCCCAACTGGCTGAAGCGCGGCGCGGAGGAGGCGGAAGCCCCTGGCTCGGACAAGCCCCAGGACAAGAGACAGAAGCAGCAGGATGCCAAAGGCGGAAGCGGAGGCGGCAAGGGCAACCGCAGTGACATCGCGGACCTGTGCAAGGCGACGGCGAAGCTCTCCATGGCAACGGCCAGGCAGGTGGCGGCGCTGGAGGCGCGCTCCTACGACGGTCAGCGAGGCATGCTGGGCGCCGAGCTCGCGAAGGGCGGACGGGAGTGCGACAAGGGGGGCTACGAGTTGAAGGCGAGGCAGGTCAAGGGCGAGGATGTGGACTTCAAGGAGAGAGGGGGCCGCACATCAGGCTCTACACGAAAGCGATATACTGGATCCTCAAGCAGACGGCGGAGAAGGCAAAGTACGAGAACCCGACGGTGGACAAGTTCCTGGTGCAGGAGCCAGGAGGACAAGGAGAGGAAGTACGGGGTGCTGTCGATGGCCTTCAGCAGAGTCGGAATGGGCGACGCAACGGGCAAGGCGACCTGGGCGTCCGTGAAGAGCCTGGAGACGGACGCGGAGTTGAGGGGCGCGGCCCCTCACGGGCCGCTGGAGCGCGAGACGCCCAGGTGCCTGGCCGCCGCGGCGAGGAAGAAGGAGTAGGCCTCCGCGGAGGCCTCCGAGAAAGCGTGAGATTTCAGGCCCCGGTCGAGAGGGGCGCGGCTAGCGGATGCGCTGGCTGGAAGGGGAAACGCGTTTCAGACCTACCTTTCACCCCTGCTGCCCCAGAACCCAGTTGCAGTGTTGCCTAGGGCAAATTCGGTCACTAAAGGCGGGGGCCGTCGGGGGCGCGGTCGCGGTCGGGGGGGGGGGGGGGGGGGGGGGGGGGCGGAAAAGGCGGCCAGCCAGGAGTTGAGTGAGAGCGGGCCACCCTCCTGGAGGCCCTCATGCGGACTGGGCGGTCCCTGGTCGGCGCGGAGGCCTGGGAAGGCGACCTGTTCTCGTGGAAGGGGGCGGTCCTCCGAAGCGGGGCGCCCACCTGGTTGCGCGCCGATCGCGGCGGGCTGCCCTGCAGGGAGGCAGCGCGGGCTTGGTCCCGAGGGGCCAGGGCCTCAGGTGATTTATCCGCTCTTCGCTCGCGCGATGCTCCGAGGCCCTGGTCCCGAGTTTGCATCTTTATAGTGCTTCGCAGACCGCCTCCCATTGAGCCATTGATTGATGGATAATGGTGGTGATGCTGCTGATGATGCTGATGCTTCTGATGATGATGGTGCTGCTGATGACGATGGGACTGCTGACTATGATGACGATGGTGATTGGGCTGGCAGTGATGCTTATGCTGATTCTGATGGTGCTCTTGGTCTTGATGATGATGATGGTGATGATGATGCGGATGCTGGTTATGATGATGATGCTGCTGGTGATGATTGTGGTGGTGATGGTGATGCTGATGCTGACGGTGGTGCTGGTGCTGATGCTGATGTGACGCTGCTGACGGTGTTGATGCTGATGCTGATGCGGATGATGATGAGGATGCTGATGATGATGGTGGTGGTGATGATGATGCTGATGATGGTGCTGATGATGATGATGACCATTATGCTGCTGGTGATTATGATGATTGTGATGATGCTGATCCTGGTTATGGTGCTGATACTGCTGCTGACGATGGGTATGGAGATTGGGGTGGGATGGTGGTGGCGATGATGACAACGACGACGATGATGATGAGGAGAAGGAGGAAGAGGAGGACGAGGAGGAGGCGTTGGAAGATGGCCATACGAGTGTGCGAGGAGCATTGCCACAAGTCTCTTGGTCAGGTGTTAGCGTTACCGCTGGCGTTTTGTCCCAAGTATTCAGCAGTGTTACAACGGCTTTGTTCTGTTGTTCAAACATATCACCATTCAATCGTTCCCATGCTTCCCATGCGGTTCCTCGGGAACTTGCGCGGTAGCAGAGCGAGGTCAATGGCCGCTGCGTCAGCAGCGGCAGCAGCACCTTGTCATCCAGGATATCCGCATCCGGAGTCGCGCGCGCCTCGTGACCGAGACCGATGGTGTTCCGCGAAACCAGCAAGGGTCAGCGAATTGTTTGAGGACCCGCGCTACGGGGGCCGCGCACTCAGAGCAAATCGCGAAGGAATGAGGGAGTTCATTCGGGGGCAAACCGCAGGCGGAGTCAGGGCCGTCACTAACGTGAAAGGGTACGCGTTGTACGCTTTGTTTCTGATAGCCTTGGGCATTAGCTCCTTGCTGCTCAGCGTCGCGAGCCGCGGCGTGGGCCCAGAAGGAGGAGCTAGAGCACTCCAGCTAAATATCGAGAAGCTAGAGTATCAAACGAACATGCCGAACAACACGATGGAGCAAGGCGCGATGATAGCCGAATCGATGACAAAAGGAAGGCGAAGATCAGGAGGACACCAACAACCAGCTAGCGAACGCAATGCTACGCAACAGCCCAAACACGTCGCCAGCGACCGAGCTAAATTCCGCTAGTGGAATGGAAAGTTGTTGGGCGAACTGACGCAGACGAACCCGCAATGCCTGGAGACGTTAAAGAATCTGGGTGGGCAAGCTGGATACCATGGACGGCGCGCTGCAGGACGGACGTGGCGACGACGTGCTTGGGGCCCTTCGCGGCCAGTTAGCAGTGCCCGAAGGCGCGAACGCCAGCCATATAAAGCAGCAGACGGACACCGACAGATGATAATTTGAGACCGTTGATGGCATGGCACAACAATTGGACGATGACCCGCGGTGCATCCTGAACGACAGAATTGGATGGAATGGAACCCCGGGAAAGGTTAAACGGGCTCAGGGACAGTGATGGATTATGAGCATACCAAAACATGTACACGCTGTGTCCCGCGGTGACTGGGATGACTGCGCTAGCTCAAGTTAGCCGAGCCATGGGTCCAGACAAACCGACGACAGTCGGAAACGTGGTTGCCCAATTGGAAAAGTGAGTAGCGCCGGTGCAAACGCTCGAGAAGCATTGGCCCGCGTATGCGTTCAACTTCCCGTTCCACACAACTGCGCACAGGGCCGTCCTGACTCATGCGGGGGGCTGGTTTCAAGGGCGGCGCCAAGAGTGTTTCGAAACGCCCAGCTCGCTCATGCCATTTCTATGCAATATATGCGTAGTGCGTTGGGACTGGGCGCGAAAGACGAGGCTGGATGCCGACGCGCATAACAATGATGCCATGAAGATATGGGGGCTTTCGGAAGTGGTGTCGGCCAGGTGCGAATCTGGGATTGCCGTGGAGGTGCGGGCGCAGAGGGTTCTGTTGACGACAGTGGCTGTTGGTGGCCCAACGACGCGCACTGGGGGCGCGAAGAGGATCGCAGCGGAGGAAAAGGAGTAAACGCAGCAGACAAAGGCAGCGGCGAAGGAGGAAACCAACCCACGTTTCAAACGCGCGGTCGCTGAGGCACATAGTTCTGGTCTGTCGGGCGAGAGGGGGCAGAGGCAGCAACGGGACAAAGGACGGCAAATATGTAAATGAAATGTGTTGGCAGTGCGTTAGTGAAAATCTAAGGCAAAGGCAGGGGTTGCAACCCCCGAGGAGACAAGGGGCTTTGGCGTTGGAGTCACGTGGGGGTCCTGCCCATGAGCGATCGGGCATGTTTTAGGTGTGGCGACAACGGGCGCATTGCGGCACAGTGCGATAAAAACATGGAATCCGCGATGCGGTACAACGCAAGGGGGGCACAAACGCCGAGTCAGGTAATCCCGGCGGAGCAAGCGGGGCCAGAGTATTTCACGTGGCCCACCCATACCAGGATGTTATTCAAACGCGCGTCAGACAGACTTGAACGGTGCCTGCGTTCCACTTCTGCACCTGAGCCGCACTTAAATCTCATTAGCAGAGCACCCGCGCTGTACAGTACTTGATCTAGACTTGGCTGAACCACACCTGCCCGCACTTGGAATGATCAGCCATCCTGCTGGGTTCATTGACGGCGCAGTGCCTCGGCAACGCCTGGACTACACTTCACTTGTTGCACCGGAAATATACGCGAAATACCCCGGATGTGCACTAGAATTATATTTGAACTACGCTCACTTGAATTACGCTTGAACTACATGCGCGCTGGGAGTGATCAGGCATGCTGCTGCGTTTGAAGACGGCGCAGTGCTTGACTTGCACTAGGAGCACACCTGTAGTTCACCTGTATTACCCTTGAACTACGCCAGAGTTACACTTGAAGTGAATGTTAAATTTACTTGCTCTGCGTTCGGACTACACCCGCAAAGGGAATGCTCAGCCATTCCGCTGCGCCCCAAAACGGTGCTGTGATCCAGCTATATTTGAGCTGCGCTTGAACTGCACTTGAACTAGTACTGAACTACACTTGAAGAAGTGCGTGTGAACGGCAATTGACTGCACCCGGGATTCTCAGCCATGTTGTCGCGTTCCAAAACGGTGCGCGGTCCTCGAGCTTGATGACTGTCGTAGCACTTAGGCCACACTTCGCTTTCACCTGTTTCGCACCTGCGCTTTACGCGAACTACGCTCGAACTACGTTTGAACTGCATTCAACTTGCACCCGCGATCGGGGTGTTCAGCCAAAATGCTGCGTTCCAGGGCGGTGCGGTGCGTGAGGTGCACTTGCATTTCAATTGAGCTGCATCTGAAGTGACCTGCATTACGCTCGACTTGCACATGAACTACTCTTGTGCCTTACTGGGGCTGCACTTTAGCCCAGCTTGAACTACTCCCGCAAAGTGGATGATCAACAGTTCTGTTGTGTTCCTAAACGCTGCATTGCTTAAGCTGCAAATGGGCTACATTCGAATTATTTCAAATGGGCTACACTTGGGCTACACCTGTGTTGCACTTGCATTGTACTGGAACTTCACTTGAACTACACATGAACTGCACCCGCAATGGGGGTGGTACGCCATGCTGCGGCGGTCCTTGTCGGTGCACTGCTTAGACGGCTCTCGGTCTGCTTGCCCTGCGCACGAACCGCGCCCGACATGAGATGATCAGCCGCGCTGTTGCGTTCCAAAACGTATCAGTGCTTGGGCCAGACTGGGATAATTCATGAATTGCAATTGAGCTGCACCTATTCAACCTGAACTACACCTGGATCACATGTGGGCCTTACACGGCTGCACTTGCATTCCGGCTGACCGACGCCCGCAATGGGATAGCGCGCCATATTGCTGCCTTTCAAGACGGCGCTGTGTATGATCTATCTTCAAACTACACATGCACTACGCCTGAGCTTCTCCTGGCCCACGCTTGAACACGCCTTCACCACAATCGAAACGTATCTGGATTGTACGCGCAGCAGATTTGAACGACGCCCGCAAAGTATGTGATCAGCCCTGCTGCTGCGTTCTAAGACGGCACCGCGCGAGGGCATCACTCGAACTACACTTGGATTACGCCGGCGATGCACTTACATTGCGCCTGAAGTGCAGTTAAGCTGTCATTGCGCTACATTTTAATGGCACTAGTAGTGCACTTGGGATACACCCGCACGGGGAATGAGCATCCAAGCTGCTTGGTCATCCAGATTGTAGAGTGCTTGATCTCACTTGAACTAGATCTGCACTGCGCATGGATCAATAAAGCTAAGAAGCGCACGCAAGGAGATACTTCAGCCTTGCTGTTGCGTTCGAAGGCGGTACAGCGCTCGGGCTGCACTTGCACCGCGCTTGAACTACACCTGAAGAGCACCTGCCCTGTACTTGCACTGCACCTAAACTGCGCTTGAACGTCACTCGATGTGCACTTGCACTAAAGTTGAGCTACACCTGCGGTGGGATTGAGCAGCCGTGCTGCTGCGGTTTACTGGGGCGGTGCAGCGCTTGGGCGTAGCCCGGGCTGCACTTGCACGATGCCTCCACCGCACCTGGCCGAAACTTGGATGACAGTAGAGCTACTTCTGAATTGCGCCTGGAGTACACTTGAACTGCGGATGAACATCACCTACGAATGAAGTGGTCGGCCATGCTGCTGCGTTCTCAGGCCGCACAACGATTGAACTACTTTTCAAACAGCTGCACTTGAGCTGCACATGCATTACGTTAGAACTGCACCTGACGTACACTTGAATTACACTTGATTGCATTGAACTGTACTGGAACTCTTCTTGGTTTACAGTTGGAATGCACCCGCAGCGGGATTCGGCAGCCGTGCTGCTTCGCTCCGTCACGGTACAGTGCTTCAGCTTCGCATGAAAGGCGCTGGACTGCACCTGGACTACACTTGAACTGCACCTGTATTCCACTTGAACTACGTGCGATCTGTACTTGAACTACACTTGAACTAGAAGTGAGTTCCACCCGTGACCAGGCATCCTGTTGTTTCCGTGACGGCCTTGTGCTTGAGTTAGTTTTGGACTGCTGCCGATGAACTGCACTTGAACTTTACTTTGACTAGGCTTGGGCTAAAGTGGGAATTACACCCGCAAGGGGTTGGACTTGCCATGCTGGTGCATTATATGACTGTGCAGTGCTTGAGCTACACTTGAACTGCGCTTGGGCAACATCTAACTACACTTGAACTACATCTGAACTACATGTAAAGCCCGCTTCAATTTCATATGGACTACAGTTGAGTCATTGGTGTGAGCAGCTATACTGCTGTGTTCCAAGGTGGCACAGTGCTAGCACAATTTCTTAAGCGACAGTTCTTGCCATTCCCCTGGCAGAGGTACGACGCGCGCGGAGCATTGCGGGTGATGTACGCGCATTGCAGCCCTCTTCGGAACTGCAGCTGTGCGCAACGTGCGCGTCGTGTTGTTCGCGCCTGCGCGCGAATGCGAAACTCCGCTCGCGGTTGGTGCGCGTGGTCCGCAACGCATACTTAAACGTCAGGGCGCACGCGCTGCGACTGCCTTCCACGCGCGGCACCGCGGTGCCTTTCGCGTTGCGCGAGCGAAATTACGGCGTCTGCTGCCCCGCCGTGGCCCGCAATGCCAAAACCCTTGCCATCACCTGATTTGGCGGCTGAACCGGCGAAGCGAAACGGGATCGAATGGCATTCCAAATGGCAATCGGTTTGCAAATTGACGCGCGCCGTTTTGCATTTTGCCCGCGGTCGCCCGCGTAGTTTTCAATTTGCTTCTGCCGAGATGCCCAGCTCCCCCTCTCCCGCGCGCCACCGCCTGTGCGCGACGTCCCAAAAGCGGGCGCGATCAGAGAGCATAATCATCACATCGCATTTGAGAACAATCTTTGTCGGTGTTTGTCCCATGTTGGGCAGCGGCGATGTCGACTGCTCAGTGTCATTGCGCCGGTGTGAAGCATGGAAAACGCATTCTATGCCACGCGGGCGTCAAGTGTGTGGCTGTTCCTCTATGAGACAGCTTATGGTATGCAGGGTTTCTCTATGCCCAGATTGTTTGCTAGTTGGAGTGCCGCATCTCCGTGCCTGCCCAGATCCGACCAGGTTAAAAGTGGCGATGTCCAATGAACACTCGGTGATTGACACCCATGAGTTCCCCCATAGGGACGCGCGTCATGTTTTCCTTGTCGCGAGAAAACACCGTGCTGGCAGTCGTGGCTGCCAGCTACTGGCTTCCATTTCTGGTTTGACGGGGGCCGCCGGGTCGCCGATCCAAGCACTGGCAACCAGTTAATTAAGGCTGATGCGCGAAAACATCTCTGTGATTCCCTGTTTTCGCCGTGGCCCAGATCGCAGCTTCTGGGGAGCGATGGTCATGTTCGACAATATTGTTGATCGCAGTGCTCGACGCATCAGCATGGATGACTTCGGCTGCCTTTTAGATGGTAAGGACCGTTTGCTTTGCCTATCGGTAGATCATCTCCTGGGACGCCCTCGACGAGACCAACTGTCATCCAGTTGTCCACTCGGACTACACCCCGGAGCAGGCGCAGTGCAGGGGTGGCAAGGCATGTGCTCCAGCCAGGTCCTTTAGCCGCCACCACCGCCGCTAGGTGATTCTCGCTTTTTTGTCCTTGATCTGCGTTACCAGCTCCAAGCAATTTGCATGTTGCGGCACATGAAAAGGTACATCGCGCCTCGGGGCCGTCGAGGGGTCGTCTTGAATAGTCAAAAAGGCCTTTAAGGATGTTTTGGGTCCCGCGGGGGCTCCCTTGGGCCGTCTTGGGGCCGGCTTGGATGCCCCTTGGGCCATCGTCGGACCCCTTGGGCCATCTTGGGACCTGTTTGGGGGCCTTGGACCAGCTTCGGACCATCGGGCAGGCTGCTGGAGCCATGCGATCATCATGCGATAACCAGGGGGGCATCACTGGTTGTAGTATTTGTGGGATGTCTGTAGCCCTTTCTTCGGGCCATCTTGGAAACATCTTGCGCCGTCTTGAGGCCACACACGGCCGCTTTGGGGCCATCTTTGGGCAATCTTTGGGCCATCGGTTTTACGAGGGATCGTGGCCTCGGGAGCGTGGTTCTGCACATTCTTCCACGAGGGATCGTGGCCTCGGGAGGGGGGGCGTCTCATGCCGGGATCCGCTTGTAGGGGGATGGTTTTCGATTAGATCACAAAAGCCCTTCCAGACAGCCCTTGGCATTCTTCCGCGCCTCAGCGCGCACAAGGTACGCTGGCGGATCTTGCCCGCCTCACATGCGGGGCGACTGCATCGGAGATTTGTGCAAGGTACATGCTGGCTTCTTCGGCAAGACGCTTGTGTTCACGGATACGAAGAAGGAATGCGACGAACTGGCGGCCAACGAGAAGCTCGCCGCGCTCGGCGCTGGGGTGCTGCACGGTGACATCGGACAGAACCAGCGAGAAGCTGTCATGGACGGTTTCCGCTCAGGCCGCATCAAAGTCCTCGTCGCCACCGACGTCGCTGCAAGGGGCCTCGATGTTCCCAATGTCGAGCTCGTGGTGCAGACGCACCCGCCCAGCGACTTGGACATGTATGTCCACCGCGCGGGCCGGACTGCCCGGGGCGGTCGCGAGGGCACCTCTGTGACGTTCTATTCCATGAAAGAAGAATACGTCGTCCGGCTCTTGGAGCACAAGAAGGGCATCAAGATGCAGCGCGTGAGCCCCCCGCAGCCTTCAGAAGTTGTGAAGGCTGCCTCCCGCGATGCGGTGAAACAGCTGGACCACGTGCACCAGGACAGCGTTGACGCGTTCATGGAGAGGGCCAAGGAGCTCATCGCCGAACGGGGCGCCGAGGTCATACTGGCGGCCTCCCTCGCAGCCCTCACAGGGCACGCCAGGCGGCTGCGTGGTAGGTCGATCCTCTCCGCCTTCGAGGGTTTCACTGCGATATTGCTGGAATCCGAGCGGGGTATTGAGAACACGTCCAAAGGCTGGTACCTCATCCGGAGCATGCTCCCGGAAGAGTGCAGGGAACAGTGCAAGGCCGTCCAGCTGTGCAACGACGGGAAGGCTGTGATTTTTGACGCTCCCGACGAATTGGTGCCTGGCATTCTCCAGTCGAGCCTGTGGCGTGGATGCAAGGTCTCGGTGGCAAAGGAGCTGCCCGATCTACAGCAGCGCGACTGCGACATGGAGAGCGCCGCGCGGCAACTGAGGGACCGCCGCCAGCAGGTCTGGCAGAACATCAAGGAAAAGAAGGCCTCCGAGCGCTCGGACGGCGCCGGCGGCCGAGGCAAGGGCAGCGGCAAGAGCGGCGGCAAGGCCGGCGGCCGAGGCAAGGGCGGCGGCGCGGCCGAGGAGGCTGCTGCCGGCGCCGGCCGCGGCAGGGGTGGCGGCCGAGGGGGCAAGGGCGGGGGCCGAGGGGGCGGCCGTGGCTTTGCGTCGTAGCCGCGGGCGTCCGCGGAGGCGGCCTGCACTTCCGGCTTCCTCCGCCGTCACCACCTCCTGTTCCTCTCCCCCTTATTTCAGGGCTCAGGGGGGGATGGATCCACCCCGAATCGCCCACTCATCGCCCACTCATCGCCGATAGGGGCCTGATGGCCCGCCCCGCCCAAGGACGTACGGATTTGTTATCGGGGGCCCATCGCCGATCTGTCTGCGATGTGTTCCCGCCCCCCCCGCACCCCCCAGGATGGTGCCCCCATCTCGTTGCACTCGTCCTTATCTGCTGCCCTTCCAGTTCTTTGCCGTGCAGCAAACGGGTCCTGAAGCAGTAGGTTCTTGTTTTTTGTCACACACGGTACGTGCAGTTGTGGTTTCCTTCCAACCCGCGTCGCACACGCGTTCATCCTCCTTCTCCCTCCCTCCCTCTCCTTCTCACCCGCACACACACATATCAGATGCACGCACACATCACATCACACCACCACACACTACAGGCAAGCATCACACACACACACACCCACACACACATACACATCCCGCGCAGACACCACCTGACACCACGCCTCACGGCACACCTGACAATACATCTGACAATACACCTGGCACCAGAAGGGGCGCGTACGGGGTGGTTCTTGAGGGTGGAGTTCTGGTTTCCGCCACATGCTAAGCGGGGTTCTGGTGTTCCCTCCCTCACGCGCCGCACCCGCGTTCACCTCACTTGTACTCCCTCCTCCCTCTCTTTCTCTCACCTGCAATCGCGCACGCATCAGACACAACCACATATGCAACTGCACACACAAACACATAGGCACCACACACACACACATACACACTACACACAGGTAGGAAAGGGATGATATGTGCGTGGTATGGCAGGCGTGGCACTTTCTCGACACCACAGGGGTTGCGATGATGGTGGGGGCGCTATCCGTTGTAGGGTCGCAGAGCGTGGCGGGCGTGGCACTTTCTCGACACCACAGGGGTGCGTTGAGGTTGGGGACGCTATGCTATTTAGGGTCGCAAAGCTTGGGATGCGTGGCACTCGTCTCGACACCATAGGCTGTGCGCTGAGGGTGAGAGCGCTATCCGTTGTAGGGTCGCAGAGCGTGGCAGGCGTGGCACCTTTCTGGACACCGCAGGTTCGCTTTGGTGTGGAACGCTATGCCATGTATGGTCGCAAAGTTTGGGAGGTGTCGCATTCGTCTCGACACCGCATGGGGTGTGCTGCGGGGGGGGGGCGCTATCCGTTGTAGGGTCGCACAGCATGGGAGGTGTGGCACGTTCTCGACGCCACAGAGCGACACTAAACTGTGGGGTTGGGCTTTCGCGGAGAATAGACATCGTCATGCGTTCCTCCTTCTTCCTCCCCCTCCTCCCTTTTCTCCCTCCTCGCCTGAGCCCTCCGCATGGCTCGGTTTCGGCAGAATCTTGTCATGTTTCGTGGCCACATGGGGAGCTGTATTGCATCATGCCCAAACGGCTGCGTTCGCATGCCTTCTCCTCACCACGTCAGCGCACCCCTCGCGCATTTGGTAGTTCCATAGGAAAGAGCGCTTCTTGTGGGCGTTTGGAAGGGGGGGTAGAACCGTGCCCCCTTCTCCCCCCTGGTTCAAGGGGGGGGGGTCAACTTCCCCTCTCAAGGAGGGGGGGGGGCAGTTGGACCCCCCCTGGGCCGGCGCCGGCGCCGGCTGGCGACCACGACGACGATGACGACAGCAACGACGACGAAGACGACGACGGCGACGACGACGACGGCGGCGACGGCGGCGACGACGACGACGGCGACGGCGGCGACGACGACGACGGCGACGACGACGAAGACGACTTCGAGCATCGCGACGACGACTATGATGACGATGACGACGACGGGCACGACGGCGACGACGGCGACGACGACGATGACGACGACGACGACGACCACGATGGCGATCACGACGACTTCGAGCTTGACGACGACGACTACGACGACGACGACGACGTTGACGACGACGATGACGACGACGACGTTGACGGGGACGACGACGAGGACGACTACGGAAACCACGGGAGGCACGCGACGCAACGCGAGGAATAATTCTAGTTGTGGTCCGGGCCCGTCAATATTCCGACATTCAGGGCCGAGGACAGGACTACAAGGGACCTTGTCGTCGTCGTCGTCGTCGTCGTCGTCGTCGTTTTCTTCGTCCTTGTTATCGTCGCCGCGTCGCCGCCGTCGGCGCTGCCAGCCGCTGCTGGCGCTGGCGCCGGGGGGGGGTTCGGGAACGGAAGGGGGCGGGAGGGGGGAGGGGAGTCCCGTTGGTTTTGTTCGACGGCGCCGAATGTTGGGCCCCCCCCCCTGGTTCAAACGCGCCGCCGACCGTTCCCAAGGCGAGCGCCCGTGAAACATGTTCCCTCTTCCATACGGGGCTCAATTTAAGGCCCGATCGGCTGCGTCCGCATGCCTTCTGCACACCATGTCGGCGTACCCCTTGTTTGTTCCCTGCCCCGTTCGGAGCGTCACCCGAGGCCCCAGTGGCTGCGTTCGCATGCCCGCGCTACACCATTTCGGCGCACCCATCACACGTGTCGTGGCCCCAATGGGAAGCTCCACGTAATGCCCCAGTTGTTGGGTTCGCATGCGTTCTCCACATCGTCGCGGCGCACCCGTTACGCGGTTCGTGGCCCCATAGGGAGCTCCACCGAAGGGCCTAGTGGCAGGAATCGCATGCGTGACCGCGCCCATGTTGGCACACCCTTCACACCGACCGTGGCCCCATTCGGAACTCCACCGGACACCCCGTTACTTACTGCCCCCCAGGGCCGCCCGCGCCGACGGACGCGAACATCAGTTGTAACGGGTTGTGTCCAGATGTAATCCGTCACGGCCGACCTCCGCGACCCCATCAGCGTCGCACCGTCTTTTTCACGAGCCTCTCAGTCCTTTTGCTGGCCCCCTCCGTTCGTTTCCGCCTGTGTGGCGGCACTTGCAGGTGCATATGGTTTGGTCTTTCGCCGGTTTTTTGTTCCGAACTGTTTTTTCTCCACAAGGGCCTTCGGCGGTTCCCACCGGTGCTCCCGTCACGAAGCCTGCCGCACCTCTTCGTCAAGATTGGAGGAAATGCCACCCCGCTCCTGCAGCACAACTGCACGAACCGCTGGCTCAATGCATTTAACAAGTTATCTATTTGAGCGATCACACCCCTTCTTGGGAGAGGAGGGCGCTGTTGGCCCCTCTAGTCTCATAATTTGCGCGTCCGTCTCATCATGATAAATGTCATTTCCTTCTTCATAACTCGTCATCCGTAGTTCGATATCCCTCGTCATCATCATCACCATCATTACCCTCACCATCGTCATCATCATCATCATCATCATCATCATCATCATCGTCGTCGTCGTCGTCGTCGTCGTCGTCGTCGTCGTCGTCGTCATCATCATCATCATCATCATCTGGATCAGATGCGTCATCGCCACTTTTATGCTGGGGTATCCCCAGCACGTCTGGGACGACTCTGCGCCAACCGTTTGTTGTTTGTGCGAGTAGAACCAAATGCTTTTCTTCATGTTTCACAGTTTGAATACCCCACAGTGATTTTTTTGTCGCAGCCTTCACAAACAAAGGATTCCTTTTGTGGCGATTTAACGAAAAAAGAGTTAACCCGCGGGGAATCTGAATTGGCGACGCCTCGAGCCCAGGAAAGCTAGAGACTAGCACCGGAAAAACAGGACAGACAATCATAAACATATGTTTTCACAGAGCCAAGTCGGAACAAGCTAGGACAACCTGTGACTGCCGCTATTTATGTGGTGCAGCCCCCACACTTAGAATTCTTAGTAGCAGCCTTCACAAGTGTTCCTCTTGTGGCGATGTTACAACACGATTTTTAAATGCGGGAGATTTGCAGTGGCGGCACCTTGAGCCCAGGAGAGTTGAGGAGAACAATAGGAACAATATCAGGAGTCACATGCAACAACCTGTGTTTTCGCATGGAAGCGTCGGAACTAAGTTAGGAAGACCTGTGCCTGTCGCTATTTTCGTGATGCTGATCCCCCACAACTGAAATCCTTTGTGGCAGCCTTCACGCCAGGATTCTTTTTGCGGCGATCTTTCAACAGAGGTTTTATCTTGTGGGGGACCTGCACTGGCGGCACCTTGAGGTCAGGAGAGCTAAACCTTTGTTTTCCACATGGAAATACAGGAAGACATGGGACGGCTTGTGAATGTCGACAGTTTTATTGTGCAGATCCCCCACACTTGAAATCTTGCTGTAGCAGCCTGCACAAAAAGGGTTCGTTTTGTGAAGGCTGCTGCAAAAGGGTTTTTGGTGTACGGATGCACAACAAACGTAGCGACTGTCACAGGTCCTCGTAGCCTTTTCCATGTGAACGTTGTTTTTTCTTTTTGTGTGTTTCCGGTTTTTGTTCATGTTGTCCTCCTTAGCTCTCCTCGGCTCAATGTGCCGCCATTGCAGGTCCACTACAATTGAAAACCCTTGTATGATCGCCACAAGCGGAATCCTTCTGTGAAGGTTGCGACGAAATGATTTGTAAGTAAGGGATTCCCACCACAAAATAGTCACAGACACATGTCTTCGTAGCTCTCTGCGAACTTCCAGGTGAAAGCATAAGTTTGTTTTCAACTTTGTTCCTGTCTTTTCATGATTTCCTTTTTAGCGTTCTTAGGCTCACGGTGCCGCCACTGCAGATCTCCCGCATTTGAATAGTTCTGTAAGGTCGCCACAAGCGAATCCTTGTGTGAATGCTGCTACAAAGGAATTTAGTCGTCGGGGATCTGCGCCAGTTCTTGCTAGGTTTTTCCTATTTTCCTTATGCAACACAGGTTTTCATTCTTGTTTATCCAATTGTTTTTCTTATTTTCCTCTTCCGTTTTCCTGGGCTCACGGTGCCGCCACTGCAGATTGCCCACCCCCCACAGTTTTTCTATTATTTGGTAAGATCGCCGCACAAGGAATTCTTATGTAAAGTCTGTCACACATGATTTTTACATTGTCGGGCATATGCACCATCAATTACAAAAGGGCTAATCTGTGATCTAGACGATGTTATTTGTTGTTCGTTGTTTGCTACAGAGAAGGGTCC